TTTTTCCTACAAGCCATTCAAATTTATATCTCAACACTACATTGTTTAACAATTAATATTAAATACACTAGTTAAGATTCAACTTTTGGTGAATGTGATTGTTTGTCATGAAAAAAAATGGATATACTAAAGAGTGTATTAGGTAGATATGAATGAATCTGATTGGTTACTTGGAAGGTTGGATGTAAGATGTAACTTTTTGTAAAATCCAAACACAAGTAGTGCCAAAGCATACAACTAGACCAATTTTGAATTTTCTTTTCTTTCTTGAAATTTTCTACTATTGAGAATTTATAAGATGCAATTTGTGTGATATGCAATGAAGACCTAAATTTGATGTCACACAAATTATGATATCAGAAAATCACAAGACAAAGAAATACTAAGACCACCTTGACATCCACCCCAAAAGAATGTCAGTTTGACAGAGTTTATAATTACTAAACTATGTTAATAGATGATGGCAAGACTGTACATGTATGGTTATATGATGACAGTGTTGTCTTGTGTTTCTATGCCAGTGAGTGTATATGTCACATAACACACATTGAACAGTTACTATCAGAATAATTGCTGACATGCTTTAATTATCGACTCTATGCTTTTACTCATCAATTTCGCTTTCATATAATAATTTGTTTTGTTTTTTGCTGATATTGTCTCTGTAGGTACGATAAGGAGCTTGTTGTCGCTAAAAATATTGGTATTCGTAAATCCCTGGTTACAGGAATTAGTTTAATGCTTACTATGTTCATTATATTTTCTGCTTACGCCTTGGCCTTCTGGTAAGTTGTGACAGTATGTGACATCATCAGATTATATCTATAAATGTAAATTATGCTCATTTCATACAAGAGAAAAAACTTCACAAATAGTTGGAAAAGTATAACATTTTAGAGGAGTGAAAATTTCCCATATGGAGTGACTATAGGTCTGTGATAACTCTAAGTTGTATGTTGTCTACTTATTAGAAAGGACTACTCATCCTAGGACATTAATTCTGTAATTTTAGTACGAATTATAAAAATAAAAACAAAAGAATTCAACAACTTTTTTCATTGGTAGATAGAACAGAAAAATATGTCCCCTGAAATACTGAAGAGTTGCTTTCATTTCAGGTATGGCCCACTCTTAGTGTCTCGTGGTGAGATGTCAGGGGGAGAAGTGCTGACTGTGTTCTTCTGTGTCATGATTGGTTCTATGTCTCTTGGTAATGCTGGTCCTAATTTACAATTTGTAGCATCAGCCAAAGGAGCCGCTGCAACTCTCATCAAAATAATTGATAATGTAAGTAATGTTGTTAAAGGCAACTCAGTCAGATTCGTTTATTTTCTCTATTATATAATTTTAGTCAATATTTCTGTCAATTTTGATAAAAAACATTTTTAGTCCCCGTTCGGACGCAGTCCGAAAATAGGGGACTTATGTTTTGATCTTTTATGTGTCTGTGCGTCT